AATTAGCTTATGACTTTTGCTTTTTTGAGAAGTTAAAATTTTTAGCTTCTGAAAAAAGTAAATTTTTGACTTTTTTTATGACTTCTGCTTTTTTTAGAAGCAGCATTCAAACGCACTTTAAAATAAAAGTGCTTCTTTTTTTAGGAAAAAAGTAACTTCTGACTGAAAAAAAACTCATCCAAACAGGCCCTTAGGCAAGAACTTTGAAAAAAAGTACTTTTTTAAAAAAAGATTTTTCAGATGGGAAAGTTAATTTCTACATTAAGATTAATATCTGAAAATTACTTTTGAGTAAAACACAGTATTTTAATTTTAATTATTTTTTTGTATAAAAAAAAAATCTTGGCATCAAAACAAGTACATGCATTGAAATATACACAATTGCACATAAATAAAAATCACTTTTATTTTATTTTCTTCAAACTCCAACTGTCTAACGGTCACTCTACGCTATATTAAATAGGTTGTTTCGATTGTATTAAATTTAATTCTTCTGTTAAACTCTCTCTCTCTAATTTATTCTGTTAAACTCTCTTTCTCTCTTTCTCGCGCGCGCTAATTTCATCTGTTAAACACTCTTTCTCTCTCTCGCGCGCGCGCTAATTTCTTCTGTTAAACACCAACTGTCTAACGTTTATTCATTCTACGCAATAGAATAGAAGAAAGGATGGGGAGGATTCGAAAAGGAAAGAGAAAGAGAGAGAGCAGTGGTTATGATGTTTCGTCGAGTCATGGGACAACAACGTTAACAAGATCGAAGGAGGATGAAGTTGCTGAAATCCTCGTTGAACTTTCAACTCTGATCTTGGAGTTCGAAAGTTGCTCTGTGATCCCATTACTGTGGGGACGAAAGAAGAAGAGATCTCCCATTCCCAATGCTCGTCGTCTTCAGACTCTTCACCAACACCAACACAAGCTCCCACTCTTCACTTCACCTAAAATCTCTCTCTCAAAACAAAAACGGTAACTTTTTCTTTTCTTTTCTTTCATTTTCTGTTATCTGCTTCATCCCCATAAATAAAAAAGTCTTTTTTATTTTTTCACTTCTCTTTATTCCTCCCTCCTCCTCTTCCCAAAATCCTCTTTCTCTCTCTATTTCAGTCATCGATTCAGATTATTTCCCAAAATCCCAAAATCAATTTGTGAACCCTAATCCCAATTTTTAAAGTTTGTTATTTTTCTTAACGGTTCACCTTCACGTTTTCAGGCATGGCACGAAGCCATCAACCCCACCAAATCATAGGTGCTACCATCGTCGTCCACCACTTCCCGATCACCATTTAAAGTGAGAACTTTTTTTTTTCTGTTCATTTCTGTATTGGTACTGTTTTTTCTATTCTGGGGCATTCTTTTTGTCTTCTGTTGTGGTGAGTCTTGACATAACAATATTGCATTTTTTCTCTCAATGTATATCTCTTGTATTTCATTTCTACATTTATATATGCCTACAATTCTAAATATACGGTTTGTCTGATAATTTGTATTGCTTTAGGGAGGTTCGAATTTGGGCATGAAAAGTTGGTTTGCGTGTTCCCTTCTAAGCATTGCTAGGGTGCCTGCACTTACTAAAGAAATCAAGGTAATTTTGTGCCTGTTTCACTTTACCAAAATTTATTGGTTTGACTTGAAAGAAGAGGGTATTTGAAATATTATTGAATAATCTGATACAAAGAGGTCTCTATTTATAGAGACTAAAAAACCTAATTCTTGACCTAATGGGCTTGGCCCAATACAACAATACTAATAATAATAAAATACCTAATATTTACAACACTCCCCCTCAAGCTGAGGAATAGATATTTATCATTCCCAGCTTGCTAGTAAGTTCTTGAAATCTGTCTGAAGGAAGTCCCTTTGTCAATAGATCAGCTAATTGACGCCCAGTGGGAATGTATGGAGTGGTAATCAACCCGCTATCAAGTTTCTCTTTGATGAAATGGCGGTCGACCTCAATATGTTTAGTCCGATTATGTTGAACTGGATTATGAGCTATACAAATAGCGGACTTATTATCACATAGCAGCTTCATAGGCCCTCACATTTTATTTTGAGATCATCAAGTACAATTTTCAGCCACAGTAACTCACAAATGCCTTGAGCCATAGCTCGAAATTCAGCTTCTGCACTTGATCTGGCAACCACATCTTGTTTCTTACTTCTCCATGTCACCAAGTTACCGCAAAGAAACATGCAATAACCAGTGGTAGAACGACGGTCAGTCACAGATTTAGCATAATCAGCATCAGTGTAGACTTCTAAAGAGAGATTACCATCACGTCGGAATAACAATCCTTTACCAGGAGTAGCTTTAAGATACTGAAGAATTCTCTCTACTGCCTGCATGTGCTTCTCCTTTGGATCGTGCATAAACTGACTGACAACACTAACAGCATAAGCTAGGTCTGGCCTAGTATAAGCCAGATATGTCAATTTTCCAACTAGCCGTTGATATTGTCCTTTATCAACTGGAGGACTCTCCTCTTCAAAGCCTATCTTGTGATTCTGCTAAATAGGAGTATTAGAGGGTTTACACCCGAGCCTCCCTGCTTCTTTGAGGAGATCCAAAACATATTTTCTCTGACTGATAAAAATTCCTTTGCTTGAATGAGCTACTTCTATCCCTAGAAAATATCTCAGTTTCCCAAGTTCTTTGATTTCGAACTCAGAGGCAAGTCGTGTCTGCAGAATCTGTCTCTCCACAAAATCATCACCTGTGATAATAATATCATCAACATATACAAGGAGCACAGTAAGCTTCCCATTTTGGGAGTGCTTGAAGAAAAAAGTGTGATCTCCTTGACTCTGTCTATATCCTAAGGTCATCATAACCTTAGTAAACCTTCCAAACCAAGCACGAGGTGACTGTTTCAATCCATACAAGGCCTTTTTTAATCGACAAACTTTATTTTCCCCCTTCACAGAATCAAAACCAGGCGGGATTTCCATGTAGACTTCTTCTTCTAACTAACCATTGAGGAAAGCATTTTTCACATCAAATTGATTTATATCCCAATTGTAATGGGCAGCAAGGGACAACAAGATTCTCACTGTATTCATCTTTGCAACTGGAGAAAAGGTTTCTTCATAATCAATACCATAGGTTTGAGTGTAACCTTTGGCGACTAATCGAGCCTTGTATCTCTCAAGAGTGCCATCAGAATTATATTTCAAGGCATAAACCTATCTGCACCCTACTGCTTTCTTTCCGTTGGGTCTATCAATAACCTCCCATGTTTTATTTTTCTCCAACGCATTCATCTCCTCTTGCATGGCTTGAGCCCAATTCCCATCTTTCAAAGCTTCATGTACTAACTTTGGGATTGAAGTAGAATCTAGTGCTGAAACAAAGCTTTTGTGCTGCACAGAAAGATTAGCAGAGGAAACAAAATGGGAGATAGGGTATTGAGTACAAGAGGGACAGGAAGAACAAGTTTTCTTGGAACAAGATCTTTTTCCTTTTCTTAAAGCAATGGGTAAATCATCAGAAGCAGTAGTAATGGGCAAGTCATCAGAAGTATTAACATCATGATCAGAAATATGAGATTCAGGACTTACCAGTGGTTCAGACGATTGAGGTTGTTGTTGAGGCAATGTGGGTTGTTCAGACGATTCAGGTGTTACAATCTTTCGTATCTCTGGTGTACTTGATGTATCAGTCATAGGAGGATCAGTCACAGGAGGATCAGACATAGACACATTAGGAACAGGAACAAGAGGAAGAGACACTGACACTTGTGAAGGAGTAGACACTGAAGATTCAAAGAAGGAAGGTGATGAGTCTTCTGGTGAATTATTCTCCCCCTGAAGATGAGGACCTTGGAAAAAGGACTCAGATTCCTGAAATGTAACATCCATAGAAACAAAAAATTTCCGACTTCCAGGGTGATAGCACTTGTAGCCCTTCTTATCAGGAGCATATCTAAGGAAGACACATTTAAGAGCCCTAGGATCCAACTTACTGCGATGCTGTTTATGAATATGAACAAAGACAACACACCCAAACACTCAAGGAGGAAGACTTTGCAAAGTTGGAACAGAAGGAAAAAAAGAAGTCATGGAGTGAATAGGACTTACATGATCGAGAACCCGAGTGGGTAGACGATTGATCAAGAATGCTGCAGTAAGAATGGCATCTCCCCAATAGCATTTGGGTACATGTGTTTGAAACAGTAAGGCACGAGCAACTTCAAGAAGGTGACGATTTTCCCTTTAAGCAACCCCATTTTGTTGAGGGGTGTCTACACAAGTAAGTTCATGAATCATACCTTGATTTTGTATAAATTGGGAAAAAGAGTGATTGACATATTCAGTACCATTATCTGTCCTTAGTCTTTTGATTTTTTTACAAAATTGAGTCTCAATCATTTTATAAAATTGAAAGAACAGTTGTGGTACCTCAGACTTTTCACGCATTAAGTAAACCCAAGTTACACGAGTGCAATCATCAATAAAAGAAACAAACCATTTATTTCCAGAAGAATGAGGGACCTTAGAAGGTATAATGACCCTCACATTTATTATGGATTTAATATTGAAGGATAATTACAAAGAAAAAGAAATAAAGTCACTTTTGGTGAACAATGAGTTAAAATGACAGTTAAGAGGTAAAAAATGCGGGTAAATAAAGTTATCTAAAAGTGAAAGTAAAAATAGAAACGTGACTAGAAAAATATTCTAGTCTATTGGTTAAAGTTTGGTAATGAATGGAGGTGTGTAGATAGATGAGCTTATACCCGCTAGTATAATGAATTTATATAAGTGACTCAAGTGAGTCACTGTTCCCTTCTCTTTACGTACGCGAGACAGAGAGAACGAAGGAAAGAAAATGAAAATGGAGATTTTGATTAAAATTCTTCCAAAATTCATAACTTGAGCTAGAGACCTCCAAATCACTTCGTTCCAAAGCCAAACCTGTGAGAAATTTCGAGAGAAATCTATTGGTACCAGTATTTCTGAGTGGGGTTCACTGTAGAGAGAGATCTTCTCCCCAAAGAATTCGAATTTCATGGAAAATATGGGTTTTGATGGAGCTTGAAGCAAGCTTCTCCCTTCATTCTAGGTAAGTTCATGTTAAGAAATCTTTGTTTTCTTTGAGTTTTGAGAAAGATTGAATATAGGTTTTCATTTTAAAAAATTTGGATTGATTGAGCATGTTAGAGCTTAATTCAGGTTTAGCTCATGTTGAGAAAAGTGTTTAGATGAGAATTTTAACGGTGAAAATGTATTTTGGAAAATTAAAAATACTGTATTTTTGAATAGTGCCGTATACGTGAATAGTGATGCATACATGAATAGTATTGTAGAGATGACCAGTGTCGTATATATCAATTAACGAATCTTGGATTAGAGGTGTGTGATAAGCTTGAATTTGATGGAGTAAAGCATTGAAATCATGAAGTTGGCATGATTTCCTTTATGTGCCTCTTAGTCATTTTCAAAGGAAGTATGTGCTATGAGTTACTGTTTTACAAAGCGAGCATACTTTTATGCGTGGAATGATATTCTAAGGTGTATGGACCTTCGCTTTGGTGAAATAAAAAAGAAAATAAGGTAGCTCCTTTGTATGGCCTTAAAATGAGTTTTGGCCATTTTCAAATGAGGTATATGTTCGAAGATATTGTTTCGCAAAGTGAGGACACTTATATGCGTAAAATAATTTATATAGGTGGCTAAGCTTGGGTTTAGGCACTAGACAAAGAGAAATCTTATAGCTCCTTTGTAATGGGCATTCGGCCTTAAATTGGGAAAAATAGACTTTTAGGTGCTAAGAGGAGTAATGAGTGTTCTAAAGGCCTTTTGGGACTATCCTAAGACTAAGTGAATATGTGGAATTTTGTGGGGATTTGTTGAACAAAGAACCACCCACTCATGACTTAATATGATTAAGTAAAAAGAAAATAAACAATAAAGTGTGTGTCTTGTATATTTACATGGCATTATATCATTTTATTGAGTTTTATGTTGAATTCCTTCTCTAGGTGTACCTAGGGACTGTGAACGTTTGGATTCTCGTGGAGTATGATAAGTAGCTTGTTCTTCAAGTAAGCAGATTGTAAAGCTCAAAGAGGTAAGCTCTATGTTTATGGGGTTCGCTCCTACTTTGTGTTCCGCCATAGTGTACGGACTGTGGTCAGGTTGTATGATATGTATGAGATATATGATATAGATGCATTCATATAGAGCTATATGATAATATGATATGTTTTGTTTTGATGTATTTACTTTGATATGTGTTAATATGATATGTTTTGTTATGATATGACTTCTGTAATATGATTTCTGTAACAATATCTGGCCATTGATTGTATAGTACCCGGATGTTCGCTTTGGGGTCCTCCCTTGGGAATGACTGCGTACGCCTCTGATATGTTCTGGTTCCGCTTTGGGGTCCTCCCTCGGGAACACGTGCGTTGATTTTCGCTTGGGGTCCTCCCTTGGGAATGACTGCGTACGCCTCTGATATGTTTTGGTTCCGCTTGGGGTCCTCCCTTGGGAACACGTGCGTTGATTTCCGCTTGGGGTCCTTCCTTGGGAATATCTGCGTACGTTTCTGATAAGATATGTGTATATGTTTTGTTTAGTTATGATATTTGATTATATGACATGTTTTATGGGATATGTATGATGATTTTGTAAATGATATTTGTTACGTACGTTGATTTCCGCTTGGGGTCATCCCTTGGGAACGATTGCGTACATCTTTCATATAACATGTTTTGTTCTGATGTGAGTATTGTGATGATTTTTGTAAAAGATATTTGTTACGTGCGTTGATTTTCGCTTGGGGTCATCCCTTGGGAATGACTGCGTTTGTCTTTGATAAAATATGTATATATGCTTTGTTCAGTTATGATAATTGCTTATATGATGTTTTGTATATTATGTATCTGACTGTCATGCAGGAAGTGAGCCCAGGGTATGGAGGGTTTTCCATAAACCTGGAGTTTACTAGAGATTCGTCTCTAACCCCGTTTGGGGATATGATTTCAGGAACACAGTTAATTGAAGAGCCTCATGGGACAAGGACACTAACCGTGGCTAGAGGTACTAGTATGAGGATGTGGAGTTCTGGGTGGTCGGATGCTACTTTTTGTTTTAGACGTATTTTTGGAAAAGATGTATTGTTGCATAGTGTTCATATTCGATACATGTACATTTATGTATTCAGGCATGATGATATGACTATGTAGTATTCAGTTATGTTATGTATTGGATTGCATGCTATTAGATTTGTGGCACAGAGCCAAGTTCAGCATGCGCCCATAGATGGGTATCTGAGTATATTTGCATGACTGGTACTTCTGGAAATATATATTGTTTAAACTGTCTATCAGGAACTCTTGAGAGTGGGATTGGAAAATCCCCAGTTGTCCGATTTACAGAGGTTACTCTGTCCGATTTTTGTCTCCGTAAAATAAGAATTAAATTACAAGAAGTATGCAATGTGATATGTCATGTGAAAAAGGATTAAAGAAAAAGAAAAAGTTAGTTCGTATTTTCGTAAGTTAAGTCTTCCGCTGTTTCTGTTTGTATCATATGTATGTTGATTGAACCGGCTCGAGACGGGGATGTTACATTTATGGTATCAGAGCAGTTGCTCTAGGGAGTTACATGATATATAGCATAAGATATTTGAAGTTGGAAGTTCTTGAGTGTTTTCTTGCAGTGCTGTACAATGCATGTGTGATCACTGAGTGTGAGCGTAGCTAACTCATTCCTTAGTGTAATATATGCAGAGATATGGTTCCTCCAAGGAGAACTCGTAGAACATTTAATAATCATGATCCACCACCGGATCATGTTGTAGCGATTTTGGCTGCACTACAGCAGACTTGGACTGCAACTAGGCAGAAAGTGCTTGAATTAATAATGAAGCATTCGATTTGACTGTGATAAGGATGAAATTTCGAATTTTCGTCAGAGAAGGAAATTGAATTTACAATCGACTTGTTACCTGGCGTGGGGCCTATCTCTCTTGCCCCATACCGGATGTCACCTCTAGAATTATCTGAATTGAAGAAGCAGATTGAAGACTTGTCCAGTAAGAATTTTATCAGACCGAGTGTGTCTCCGTGGAGAGTCCCGGTGATCTTTGTTAAGAAGAAGGACGAGTCTATAAGATTGTGTACAGATTACCGGCAGTGGAACAAGGTTACTGTCAAGAATAAGTATCCTTTGCCGCGTATAGACGATTTGTTGGATCAGTTGCGTGGTGCGACTATATTTTCTAAGATTGATCTTTGGTCCGGGTATCATCAAATCCGGATAAAGTCGGATGATGTTCCGAAGACAGCTTTCAGGTCCTGATATGGGCACTACGAGTACCTGGTTATTCGTTTTGGGCTTACGAATGCACCAACTGTTTTTATGAGTTATATGAATCGGATCTTTAAAGCCTATCTGGATCAATTTGTGGTTGTCTTTATTGATGACATACTGATATATTCAAGGAGCAAAGAAGAGCATTCTGAGCATTTAAAGATTGTTTTGCAGATTCTGAAAGAGCATCAGTTGTATGCTAAACCGTTAAAGTGTGATTTCTGGCTTTCTGAGATACAATTTCTGGGCCATGTCATTTCATCTGAAGGAGTGGCAATGGACCCGAGTAAGATTGAAGCAGTGTTAGATTGGGAGCGTCCTAAAAATATTACAGAAATCAGGAGTTTTCTTGGTTTGACTGGGTATTACAGGTGTTTTATTGAGGGATTCTCACGGATGGTACTACCTTTGACACGGTTAACCCGTAAGGCGAACCCATTTGTGTGGACCCAAGAATGTGAAGTGAGTTTTCAAGAGTTAAAAAGGAAGTTGACTACAGCTCCGGTATTGATATTGCCGGATCCTACCAGTAAATTTGTGGTGTATTGTGATGCTTCTAAGAATGTGAAGTGAGTTTTCAGGAGTTAAAAAGGAAGTTGACTACAGCTCCGGTATTGATATTGCCGGATCCTACCAGTAAATTTGTGGTGTATTGTGATGCTTCTAAGTTTGGGTTAGGCTGTGTTTTAATGCAGTTTCGTCAGGTGGTTGCTTATGTTTCTCGGCAGTTAAAGCCGCATGAGAAGAACTATCCGACACACGATCTTGAGTTGGCAGCCGTAGTGTTCGCATTGAGAATTTGGCGACACTTTCTATACGGGGGCCGATTTCATTGTCTACAATGACCACAAAAGTTTGAAGTATCTGTTTGATCAGAAAGAGCTGAATATGAGGCAACGCCGATGGGTGGAATTCCTGAAGGATTATGATTTTGAATTGCAATCTGAGTATAATTTGATTGAGAAATTCAGGGATCTTTGCATTCCTGTGAATACCGAGGATAAT